ACACAGCATCTCCACGACATGGCGGCGGCGGCAGCAACAATACTACAGCGATAATCAAAGTTACGCCTTCTTTCTTTGCGTGAACATTTGGGCGGTGTTATGCAAATCTTCCCACATCGTGACGTAGACATGTGGGGGCGTGTTAGAACGAGCCGTTTTAGGTAGGCGTGGTTGACTCAACTTTTATAAAGAATATCTCTTTGGATTTGAGACTTTAGTCTTTGCAACTTTACAGATCTTTGATATCTTTGAGAATCAAAATGTCTTTGATTATGCACCAAGAGCTTGTAACACTCCAAAGAGAAAGGAAAAATTGAAATCGCATCACATGACCCCTTTAAGCTCACCAAGGCTTCATTATTTGATGAATAGCTCAAAAAGCATTTATTTGAAATAAAAAATCTTTTGTAGCATTATGAATGTCTTTACTGTCACTTTTGATGAATATGTGTACTTGCTGAATAATTGTATAATGAATAATAATTACATCAAATAAAATAAAAACCACTTGTTGTGGTAGTAAAATCTCAGTACTCAAGGGGGCGATAGAGGGCTATGTTAAGATTTTCTGTTTGGAAGGAATTAAGTTTCAGTATCAGGCCTGAACAACCAAATGCGTTTCGCAATCACATTAAGTATGCATCATGACCATTGCTTTCAATCATTTACACGTTTAAAGAAATAGTTAACCAAAAAATAAAAATTAGCTGAAAATTTCATCCAAGATCAAGAAGAGTTTGCTTCTTCATCAGGACAGATTTTTTTTTAGAACTTTAGCATTGCAATGGCCTGAGAGTGAGCAAATTTTCATTTTTTTGGGGTGAACTATTCCTTTAATGACCAGATAGCTATCCAATCAGAAAAAAGAGTTCTCTTCAAATCCTTGTGCCATTAACCCACATGTGCTATTTTTATTCATTATTTACATAAGTTAGCTATAAACATCTCAACTTTGCCCAACTTTCTCAGCAAGCCTCTCTTAAAACTATTGCTCCACCATGACTGTACTTGACCTTCGAAGAAGAGCTTACACTAATGTCTGCTGTAGCGTGTTAAACTTCAGAACTGCTCTCCAATAAACGTGTCTAATAAATCTTAACCTCAATGTCATCTCTCTTCAGATAAATTCATGCAGCTAAACAATGCTCTCTTCAGTCTGAATGGAGGCACGGGTTACGTGCTTAAACCAGAGTGGATGCGAGATCCAACCAAGAAGAAGCCTGCTAAACAAACCATCAGAATCAGAGTAAATAACTCTTATTTGCTTGAAACTGCAGTTGAGTCAGTTCAACCTTTTATTGAGTTCTAGAATGTTAAAGTAATAGGAATGCAATGTTAATTAAAGTAATTGAAGTAAAAAGTAATTATTTGCTCACCTTGATGTCATTCCAAATCTGTATGACTTGTGAATTTGTGGACTAAAATATGAGAACTTGTAATTTTGTTGCTTGACAGTCTCCAGTTAAATTCATTATGTGGAAAAGATTATCTTTTGTGTTCTACGGAAGAAAGACATTTACATTTTTTAGGGTTTTACACGTTTTGAATGACATGGCAAATTATTGTTTTTGGGTGAACTAGCCACATTTGTGTGGTACAGTTTTGTCAAAACTATTAGTAATTTTCTTGGGTTTCCTGCAGGTGATGGCAGCCAGGCATCTGCCCAATCCAGACCACATCGTCAGTCCTTTTGTGCAGGTTGAGCTGTGGCCATACACAGGAGCTCAAGTAGACAACTGCAGTTTCAAGACTACCCTCTTCAGTAAGGATACGGGAAGAAAGTTAGGGAGAGAGGAATTACAATTTAGATTACAGTAGTTAAGAATGTTGGTTTCTTTGCAGAGGACAACGGACTGAATCCAGTGTGGCTGGGTCAAATGAATCCACCCAAATGCTTTAAAGTAGATGAGCCAGACCTGGCCTTCCTGCGCTTTGTGGTTTTTGAGGAGGACACATTCTCTGATGCGAAGTTTCTTGCACAGGCCACTTTTCCTATTAGAGGTATTCGTCAAGGTAAATCCATCCAACAGATCTGAGCCCCAAAATCCTGGTTATGAATTAAGAATTCATCCCTCGTTTTAGTAAATTGTGGCCACACTACTAATTTGTTCCCTTACTACAATAAATCGTGGTCACATTGTACTAATTTGCCGATTTAATTAAAACAAGGGAATGACTTAGTACAATGTTGCCATGATTTACTAAAATGAGGGAATGAATTAGTAGTGTGCATGGCCACAATTGTAGTAGTAGTCGTGGGAAGGAATTCATGGCCATAATTTCACTAAAATTAGATAACGAAGTAAATCGTGGCTATGATTTAACTAAAATGAGCGAACAAATTCATAATTTGTGGCCACAGTACATATATTTTTGTGATGCGCAGGGCTCTGCAAGTAGTCCCTGAGATTTTAATATTTTAATATAATGTCAGTTAATGGCTACAAGACATGAAGGTAAAAGGTTTAGTGAGTGTCTTTATTTATTATTTACATTTTTATGATTTAACTTCACTTTTCATCAAACCACAAAGCCCCCGTAGTTCCCTCACAAGACCCCAGAACCGGAGATCAGTTTTATTACTTTCATAATATTGCTTCAAAGAAAAATAGTGCCTCTGTATTAAAATCTAAAAGGGTCTCTGAGCTGTTGCATTTCTCTTCTGGACATTCTTTTCTTTTTATTAGGGTATCGGTCTGTCCTGCTGAAGAACAGGTTTAGTGAAAACCTGGAGGTTTCATCTCTTCTGGTGCATGCAGAGCAGGTGGAGGTGAGGGACCTTGTTTTTTGTTTTTTTTTGATTAATGTACATTAACCTTGAGACTGCTGATATGAAAGCAGTAACACCACCAAAAACAAATAAAAGCCCAATTTAAAATATTACTATTTTCCTCATTCCAGTCAGTAATGAAAAATCTTTGTGTACAGGTGTAAACAGCCTTAACCACAAGGAACTAGCAGACGTTTCAATGTGAATATGGTGAAAAGCATGTGGTTTAGTCCTGGTCTTGTTGTTTGGAAGATATATTCCAGATTCTGGATCACTGTGGAAATAAATCGTAAGGACTGCAGAGCAGTTACTGCGACACTGAATAAGATCTAAATAAACGGTGTATATTTGTATTACATATAAATGTGTATATTTGTTCACATGCTCATGTTTTGGGTTCATGATAAGAGAATTTCCTTTTCTCTCTACTGTATCAGTTATCAAAATAATATAAAGAGTGCATTTTAAAAAATGAAAAAACGTTTTTTGAAGCAAATGACTAAACTAGTGAATAAACGCGTCAATAAAAAAAGCTTTGAAAGCTTTCTATTTGAAACATATTCACAGACAGTTTATTTTGATTGAAACTGGTTCACATATTAGGCTTATTTTCCTGTTGAAGGTTGTGTTCTCATTACAACAGCCACAGAGCAGCAGCAGCAACCCAGCTGTAGATAGAAGCAGAAAAACACAGAAGAAATAAGGGCAGCAGTTGTATCTGCAAAAACTCCAGGAGTCATGGGAAATGTAGTTCATTCTGTATGTACACGACTGTGCTGCAGGGGCCGCAGGGGACCCCACCCACATCATATTAAGACTCCGTCTCAATGCAACATCGCAAAAAGCGCTTTTCAACAAAAATAAAAAAGCTGAAATTAATGAGACATAACATGATAAGGAGACATTGGAAACACAAATAGCACAGTGAGTTCCACAGGATATTACAAATAAATCCGGAAACAGTTGACTTAAGTATAAACTGGATTTCAACTTCAACAGATTAGCCATTGTCTCAAAGAGATGGCTTTTATTATGATTTCTTAACAAAATCCTTCCTGCCACAGAGAAAAATGGTCTGCTTTTAGGACTGAAGACCATTCCAATGTACCTTACCACGGCTTGAGTTTCACCAGTGTACAGAATGGCACAGTTTCTAGTCCACTCACGAACGCACCTTCAGAACACACTCCCAATATAATCCATCCGTTCACATCGCGCACACACACACTAACTCTGTCCATCTTTCACTTTTAGAAACACATTTTGATTCTTATGGTAAGTGGTTGACGAGGGCTAGTGATTTTACCCTTGATTTTAAATCTATATGATAAAATTACAAACATGCAAAAAGAGAAACAAAACGGGCAACAAAAATAGGTGACCTTATGCACACATCTAAAAAAAAAAAGAAGAAGGCAACAAAGAGTCTCCCAAAAACTTGAGAGAAAGAGAAATGGGAAATTATATACACTCATATGTACATTATACAGTTTGTAAATATGCAAGATGGCAGAACTCGTGTTGGTGCCATTATGGCACCCAGTACTGAACGCCCCCCTCTGGACGGCATCTGTATCTGTGTGAAATCAAACGCACACACAAAATCTAGAACTACCTAAAACTGCTACTTTCAAGACCAGCCACATGGACGGGGCAGCAACTCGATCTGGATATAGTTCAAAGTGGGAGTAGAGACAGACACGCCTTTGTAAACATAAGAAAAACTCAATTTAAGTTAAGACGGCAAATTCAACGTTTTATTTCAGGCCGTCTTTTTTTTAATTTTTAATTTTTTTACAAGATCCGTCTCGTTTCTCTACTAGTCAAGATATTGACTAACTAATTACAATGGTCATAATCTATACGTTTGGAGAGACGCTAAAATATAAAAAGGTTAAACTGCATAAGCCGTAATGAACATAGCACAAATCTTGGCTCGATTTGATATAAATATGCGGAACATTGTCAACCGTTGTGGCAGGACAATCATGGTGGACTCCTATCGACCACTAGAGGTGAAGAAGTTTACAGAGAATAATAAAGCCTATTAATCGGTTTAAAAGTTCATAATGTATCTATGTACAACTTAGCTGACGTTGCTAGGTGATGCAATCTTTACAGAAAATGTTTTAGGCACCATCTTGGTTCAGTATGCTTGACAAAAGACCTTAATAAAAGAAAATAGGACCAGAAAGGGGGGCACATAAATACAAAGTAGTCCCAGACTACTTCCTGGACGATGTTCTCTTAAATACGGGTGTGAAATTAAAATTACACTGTACAATATGGCTAAAAAAAGAAGAGAGAAGAGGAAGGGAAAGGATTTTTTTTTTTTTTTTGAGCGAAGCCCCAGAAATGTCCGCATTAAAAATGGGGACACGTCGATTTTCTTTACAAACACACATGTATATGAAAGCAGTGTATGGAAAAATATGCTTATTCAAGTTGATAAAAAAAATGATTTTCAGAGCGATAGAGATATAGAGATGAACGTGAACATTGTTAACAGACACATTTTACACCAGAAATCTCTGTGAGGATGCAAAAATGATGGACTCTGAACCAAGAGGACCAAGCACACATGTAACAAGAAAAGAAAAAAAACTTAAGAGGAAATTGGCTTTCCACACAGGAAGTGATATCAAAACTGTACTGGAATGTGGCTCTGAATATTCAGGCCTTCACCAGACGCTGGTACCACAGGGGAAATGTATCCAGGTGGTCTGATGTCTTCGGGGGGGACAAAAAGGGACGCCAGTTATGGGTTAAGACGAGGGACACGGTTCCTCTGAAGGGTCTGAGATAAAGGCAAGAACGAGACAGAGGAAAAAGTCCACTGGTGATGTCGTTGGAAAGGTTCCTGTGCTGTTTGATGATGTCACGGGACATATTCTTGCATTTTGATGCCGCTGCGAAGAGCATCCTCGGATGAGACACTAGATGATTCTTGAGCGTTTATGATATTATCAGAAGGTCCTTGTCGTTTGAATGATGTTCCTATAAACACAGTCCTTGCTTCTTGATTATGTTGTGTTCAGATGATGTGTCAGCGATTTCCTGTCAATAAATCTCCTCGAGCATCGTGTTCACCACGCCTCTGTGTAGCGAACGTCCACTTCCTTTAGATTGGGTAGTTTGGCCTGTGGGCAGGACCAGAGACGGAGAGGTTTAGATAATGAAACCTTTAATGTAGCATGCTGGTTTAACATCCTTTGTTGTTCCTGGAACAACATTCCTGTCAGCCCTATGATTCTTATTATTCCTCTCTGTCATGGCTACGATTGATTGACTGAACCAGGAACATGTCCTGCTTGTGTAAATAACATTAAAAAATTATAAGATGATAAGAGTTAAAGGTGAAGTGTGTAATTTCTGCACCATTAGAGTCACCAAACTGTATTGGAAAAGTAGAGACTAGGGATGGGCGTATCGATCCGAAGTATCGATATATCGATACTGACGCGAGTATCGAAAGTATCGATACTAAAAAAAAAATATCGATACTAAGGTGCGTTTTATTTACCAGTGGTTTTGTTTATTTAACAAAAATAATAATAATAATAATGCATACAATATGCATTGAATTGGACGAATAACCTTTGTTAGCGAGTAATTGTGTAGGATATAACTATTTTCCTGCTCATCTGAACACACGCAAATGTTGCAAGACAGAACCAATCAATCACAGAGAGCATTCACTCACTGCTGACAGTGCATTCAAACAGGGCTGCGTTTCCCAAAAGTATCATAAGAAAGCATTAAAGCTTTTGGGAACGGCAGCCCTGAACAATGCTTATCAGAGGACAGAAAAAAAACATAAATGTTTGAGTTATTTCACAATAAACAAATTGAGATTGTAGCCTACATAGTTTGTGCAATTAAAATTATTTAAATTGAACGTTGAAAGATAATATTGATCATGTTCTATTCTGTAATGTTAATAGAAATCATACATTGTCAGAATAAAAAGGTTGCTTTTTATGCATGCAACAGCCATTCACTGGCAGTCCCTAATTGTAGTACAAAATATTGCACTAAATCAAAAGTTCAAATGTTACAAATAAGTTAGAATATTAATGTTGTAATACTGGTAGCACTAATATAAAGTTTAGTGCAGAAGTATCGAATCGGTATCGATATCGACTATACTGCCTAGAAAAATATCGGTATCGTATCGAAAACAAAATAAGGGGTATCGCCCATCCCTAGTAGAGACTGTTGATACTGGTTTCCTGAACACTCCCTCATCTGCTATTGGCCAGCCAAACAAGATAACAACGCCCCTAAACTCAGGCCATTGGTCAAGTCAATGTGGCTGTTTTGTGTTGGTTGTAATGGTTCAATGTTTTGAAAGCACCACTGAATAGCAGTATTTACATTTTTGGGGAAACTCAAACTATGAACAACTTTATTAATCAAAAGTTTGGGGTCAGTTTGATTTTTTTATGTTTTTTAAAGTAGTATCTTATGCTCACCAAGGCTGCATTTATTTGATCAAAAATACTGTAAAAAAAAAAAACAGCAATGTTGTGAAATACTATTAAATACTATTACAATTTTAAAATTGTTTTCTATTTTCCTGTGATGCAAAGCTGAATTTTCAGCAGCCATTATTCCAATCTTCAGTGTCACATGATTCTTCAAAAATCTTTGTAATATCTTAGTAATCATTTATTTTTATTATCAATGTTAAAAACAGCCGTGCTGCTTAAAATTGTTGTGGAAGCTGTAATACATTTTTTCAGGATTCTTTGATTAATATAAAGTTTAAAAGAACAGCATTAACTTGAATTAGATTTTTTTGTAAGAATTTTAAAATTAAATAAAAACATCGTACTGACCCCAAACTTGAGAAATAGTGTACATTTAGTAGCTTCTTTATATTAAACTGAGATAGGAAATTTAACCCGTCCTTGCGGTTTTTAAAATTTTTTTTTATGACACTTCATCTTTAACTTCAAGTTTCAATCCTAGCAGTCTGAGGGTCTGAGGGACAAGTCATCATCCTCTTACCTTCAGGTCTTCATATGTGTCCGCTGTGAGTTTAGTACTGTTCATATTCAGGCTGCACAGGCTTTTCATTGCTGCAAGGAAAAGTTGCAATATTAATTATAATTATCCAACATGTTAATTAAAATAAACCATAAATGTGTTGGGACAAACACTAAATGCTCTTCACACTGAAAATAAACCACTTTTTTTGTTAAATGGATAGTTTAAAGACTTAATTTTTAAAACTTAAGTTATGCCATAAATTTATAGCCAAACAACAAGTAGATGGTTGTTTATATGGCTAAGCTCCAAATAGAGCACCATTAAAGTGGAGGTGTGAGCAGGTCTGACATCACTGATGGCAAAAACCACTAGCTCTTGCATGTTATCTGAATGATTGTGACGTGGTAAATTTAAAAACACGGTCGCGAATGACATTTGAGATCTAGAGTGGAGAGAAAGATTATTCGTGAACAATGACTATGGCTTCAAAAGACTTGGACTATAGTGCACGAGTCATATTTTATGATTCTTTGAAGCTTGACAGTATAAATCACCATCCACTTTTGTCACGGTATATGAAAAACAGAAGTTCTGACATTGTGTTCTCCTTTTGTGCTCCATGGAATAAAGAAAGTCAGTTATACTGGTCTGGAATGACATGACAGAATTTTCATGTTTGGACTGTTTGTAACTATCCTTTTAAGAAACCTCAAGCTTCACAAATAGCTACGAACTGTTGTAGACCAAGAGGCTAGAAAATAAATCTAATCATTTTAAATTCAGAAACAGCTGTTTTTTTTTAACAGTTCAGAATGAAAGTAGCTGGATATACGATTTATGTAAATGCGTTCTTACAGCTGAGGGAGAGCAGGCCAGCATCCGTGACTGGAGTCTCACACAAGTTCAAAACCTGCAGACAGGCCAGATGCTCCGACAGCAAACGGAGCCCAGCATCTCCAAACTAAAACACAGCGAAAACATAAATCAAGTCAATAAAACAGGTTTTTATTAAAGAAATTAATACTTCTATTCAGCAAGGATGCATTCAGTTGATAAAAAGTAACAAACACAGCGAAAACATAAATCAAGTCAATAAAATTTTCTTTTTATTAAAGAAATTAATACTTCTATTCAGCAAGGATGCATTCAGTTGATAAAAAGTAACAGTAAAGATACTTTACAAAAGATTCCTATTTCAAATCAATGCTCTTGTTTTGAACTTTCTATTCATCATAGAATCCTAAAAAAAATGTTTGTGTACCAAATCAGCATATAGCATATGTATATCGGCACATAGTGGAGATTCTCTTTAGACTATGGACTGAGAATGGAATGAGCAGAAGAAAACAGACCTGGGTGGACCACAGGTTGAGCTGTTTGAGGGATGGCAGTTTGATGAGTTGTTCAGCACAGGCACTGGTGACGTTGGTGAACGCCAAGCTGAGGTTCTCCAGATTGCCGAAGGAACCGGAGCTCAGCAGACGAGCCAAGTCGGCATCCTAGAGTAACAAAAATGTGAGGAAAAAGCCTTGAGGAAGGATTTTTGGTTGTGTTTTACTAGGAAAACAACAGCATGGATGCAAGCAAATACATTTTAATTTATGCAAACACTCTCACCGTCGATTTAGATGGCAGAGTGAGTCGAGTAGGGCCTCCTTTTCTTTGCTAAACAGAGAGAAAGAGATATTACTAGTGCTGCAGTTTTTAGTTTAAACATCAGGTGGCGCTTGAGAGTCAGCACTGTATACGTAGGAAGCCTGTAAATGGGTCACTTCTGTCTTTTTGTGTTAATGGGAGCACTGCGTTAAACAAAGTCAGAGCTCGGCAAGAAGAAGCCTGTGCGTGGCAGTGAAAGCGTCTCGGTGTTGATTTGTGAAATTGGTTTGTGCACTCACCAGTTCTTTAAGCTCCCTCTGTCTGTCGCACAGCTGCTCGTACATGCGCAGGCCGACCTGGGTGCTCTCCAGGGTGGAGATGATCTGTAGCTGAGTGTCCTTGTTCTCTATGATGTTGTACTCCAGCATCAAACACAGGATCTGCACGGCAGACACACAGGGATCACTGCTATATCCTGCATACAGGTTTCCCTGGAGTCTCTTGAACTCTCCATAGATAATGTAGTGAGCTGCCTTGCTGTCTACTTAGGCAGCATCCATTCAGAAATGCAAACTGAATTGAAATTGCTGGATTCTGCCCACAAAATTTAGCCAAAAAAAAAAAAAAATGCTACCATACTCACAGTTGATTCCAATAGAATTTGATGTTAGCATGTTGCTAAGCTAATAAGTGGATACTATAAAGAACACAAAACAAACCGCGTTATAATATTGGATTAAATAAAATCCTAATTCTAAATCCACAAAGGATACACGCAGTCAGACTTTAGACTATCTGGTGCACTTTGCAGTTTATTCTAGTCTAGAACTGACAACTTAAGATTCGAAAATCAACATTTAAAGTGATCGACTACCTTTTATTGCAAATGATTATACTACAACAATAGATAGCTGTGGAAAAAAACAAAACAATGCAACAGTTTCCGCAGATGATTTGAAAGAAAACAGAAGAAATTTGCGGAAATTCACAGAACAACATTAAATATGACCACACCCTAATACTCAGGTTGATTTCAAAAGAATTTGACGTTAGCATGTTTCTAAGCTAACAAGCGCTACTCTAGTAAACACAAAAACATAGCGCATACAAATACTGAATGAAACCGTACAATATAGGATGACATTTTAATTAAATTGTAATAATTACAATGCATTCTAGGGTTGCCAAATCCACAAAGCATACATGCAGTCAGTCTATCGGCTCTCTGGTCCACTTTGCAGTTTATTCTAGTCTAGAACCGCCAACTCAGACTTATACATTGAAAGTGATCACCCACCAGTTTTTTTGGTTTTTGTGTGTCATTTAGGGGCAATTTTAATTCAAATTTGTCACTCTACAACAATTAATGACTAAGGAAAAAAGCAACAGTTTCTGCAGATGGTTTTAGAGAAAATGGATAGAAATTGGCAGAAAATGTGCTTAGAATTTCTGTCTGTACAAAAATACAGATGATTTAAAACAGAATATGCAATTCTGCTTGTGGATATTTCAGTTTTCTTAGTCTAGTCATTAGATTTTCCACAAAAGCATTCATTAGTACCTTGTAAACAACTTGGTTTCACAGGAAGTTGCATAATGCTAGCCAATCAGATATAAACTGCTAATTTTCAGTCTGCTCTTACCATTTTGTGTGCAATATTCATCATATGGTCAGTGAACAGACTATGGGCGTTCTGTAGACGTGCCCTTAAAGGCTGAGACTAGCAAAACTAAGGCTTTAAAAAAAAAAAAAAGCCTTTTGGTTGAACCATCCATGATGCCTAAAAATGTTACATAGGTGGGCAGCTCATGCTGTTTTTTTCAACAGGGCACTACATTTCGGCTCAAAGCAACAGTCATATGTACCTCCACCATGGTCTGGTTCCCCCGCAGGGCCAAGAGCATGCATGGTCCCAGTTTATTTTCAGCCAGCGACAGGAGAAATTTCTTCGTCTTGTAGCAGGAGCCCATGAGGATGTGGACCTGTGAGGACGAACAACATCAGACCATAAAAGTAGATATAGTGGCAGGACAAAAGACTAAACTAATTGAGACATCTCGCATTTCATACAAACACTTTCATACCATGCTAGCAAACAGCTCTCCATCATCGTCGCAAGCTACGCCTCCTGGACTGTAGAGCTGGAACCACCCGTCTTTTCCAGAGCGCACGCTGAGCAAACAGGAGTGGACCTGTGAGAGACACACACATGCACATACATTCACAATGGCTGAAGCTCAACAAAGCACTGTTTACTAAGTCTACAGTGGCAATATTAAGCAGGCATTTGATTGATACTGTAAGCCAAACAACACCCTTTCTGCACACTTTCCTGTCTCACCTCTTGTCTGGGATCTTCAGCAAACCTCTGAATGACATATTTCAGCTCTCTGTTACAAAAATAAAACATGAAACATGTCAACTTAAACACTTTAAGTAAAAATTCACCTCCCAAAAAAATAATTCGGTCATCATTTACTCACTTTTATGTTGTTCCAAACTTTTTCTGAACAACATGTTTCTATGCAGTTACAATTAAAAGTGATTGGAAGCATCAAAAAGATGCAGTCTAATAAAAATGGGTTAAAATGACTCCAGGGCTTTATTTTAAATCTTCTTAAGTTATATGACAGCATTGTGTGATGCATTGGCTGAAATTTAATTCACTATTCACTGGTTATCTTAACCGAGACTTGTGTAAGTTTAATTTGTGAATGAATAATTCAGACCATTTTTGTGCACTGGTTGAACCAATTCACTAAAATGATTAATTTTAGCTGATTGAACTGTTCTACTTAATGCCAAGGAGAGCTAGTGTGAATGTCAACATTTTCAGTGAATAATCACAAAGTATGTTCTTCAAAAGCTATAGTATGTTTTCAAAAGACTTCTGTAAAAAAAAAACTTCTGTAAAACCTTTCCACAGAATGTGATACTCTTCCACAGAGCACCCAAAAGTTATTTCATAAGGTTTGAAAAAACATAAGGGTGAGAAAATGAGTTTCATTTTCTTCATTCACTTCAGAGTTTCATAATGACTCACGACACTTTCAAAACTTTACAACAACTCTTCATTCTGTCATCATTTATTCACCCTTATGTTGTTCCAAACCTGTAAGAATTACTTTCTTTTGAGGAACATAAACTGATGGCAAAACCGATGTCACTTACTTTGTGAATTTGGCATGTGCAAGGGCCCTAGAGAGGAGAAAGCAAACAGAGAAAAACACCGACTTGACTCAGGCATGCAAAAAAAGGCAGTGTCGTCATTCCACATAATTACACAAGTTGCTTTCTGAGTCTATATGTAGGCGTGCTTGCCTCGACACGCATGATGATACAATTTCAAGTCATCTAAAGTCTGGGAGGACTTCATCAAATGTTTTGCATGTGTCATGAGTGCTCTGGGATGCGCCTAGCTGTTGTTAACTTTTTCTAATGAAGACTGGAAGCTTGGCGTACCGTATGAACACAGGTGAGCCCTCCACTTGTGGCAACCGCAGGGCTCTGCAGAAGACTTGTAATGATGTGCTCTGTCCTGCAGGGCCAATTACAGGAGCCACAGAGGACCCAAGATGCCTCACCTAATACTCACAATTCCGCTGCAGAGCCCTGCTGGGGCTCGCCCACATCAGTACTCACCCCTGCATGCCGTACCTTGAGAGACCGGCCCACCGCACGTACACAGAGAGCCCCCTTGGTATCGTTATATAGGCTACACATCCAAAACATAAATTCATATTTCACATACACTAGCGTTCAAAGGTTTAGAATCTGTGTGATTTTTTTAAAATGAAAAGTCTCTTATGCTCACCAAGGATATTCATTTGATTAAAAATACAGTAAAAACTATAATATTTAAAATATAACTACACCACTTTAAAATAACTGTTTTCTATTTTAATACATTTTAAAATGTAATTTAATCCTGTGATGGCAAAGCTGAATTTCAGCAGCCATTACTCCAGTCTTTAGTGTCTCATGATCCCCTAACAAAACAAAAATCATTCTAATATGCTGATCTGGTGCTCAAGAGGCATTTCTTTTTATTATCAATGTTGAAATCAGTTGTCCTGCTTAATATTTTTGTGGAAATCAAGACACTTTTTTTCCAGACTATTACTATAAACAGAAAGTTAAACAGCATTTTTTCGAAATAGAAATATTTTCTAACTAAAATTTGAATATATTATACACTGATATTGAGTATAGAGTGAGCCGTGTGACATCAAGTGACGATCTACCAATGATGCTTTTCACTTTTGTTCATTTTAACATCTTTTTGATTAAACTTGAAACAGTTATCTGTGGATCAAACTGGGCAAAATGGTCTCATTAGAACCAGCTGACTAATTTAAATAACATGTGCAAATGCAATAAACACGCTGTAAATAGAAAACTTAAAACACAATGGTAGATAAACTGATTGGTGTAACTGACACTTCACAATGAGTTAATTACAGCAGCAGAAATCATACTATTACTAATCGTAATGGATTCCATAGTTGAAACAGGCGGCAAGTAAACGGTTAGAAAGAAAGTAACTGTGAGGAGGATGAGAGGGGAGTAAATGCCCTTACTCTTTCGGGAAGGGGATTGGTTGAAGCAGGCTGGCCAGTGCTGGTCTCCAGTCATCGTAGTCTGATCTGTAGAGGGAAAAGGCCAGAGGAGAAATTAGAGATTCAGAGGCAGGAAGAGTGAGAACTGGAGAAAATAAGAGCCTTATGTAAGATCGGCCAGTGAAAGCTGAAACCTCAGAAGCTCTCCTGTGATCTGCAACCGGATGGTTCACAATAGGATCAGGTGAAGGTGGTAAAGCCTAAAAACAGATTCGGTTCAATGAATCTGTTATAAATATGCAGACTAGTTTAAGGTCACTTCTCAGTGTGATTATGGCTGAATCAGCTTTTCTATATCCCAAACTGATCATTTCTGTCAGGACCACTATCGTCAAAGATGATTGACAATTAGCATACAGTTTGGATTGGCGGTATGGTTCGGACCTTATATATGAATGCTTAGATAGGTGTCGTATTCCTATAGGTAGATGGGGATCAGCTGAGAGCCAGCTGATGCGAGCTTGACTAACGTGACCTGCCAGAACTAACGCTACGTTTCATTTATACTCAATGTGGGACTATTACAGTGTTGGAGAATAGCTACAAAACATTTTTCAGTAGCTCTGCTGTTATTAAAATAGCACGGCATTTTCTGTGAGCGAATTATTCCAAAAACAGCAGTGTTGCGCAACAAAACGCTGTATTGTGCAGCCTTATAATGCACGAACAAACTCACCCTCTTACAATCCACTTTCATTCTCAAATAGTGCTGAATTGTTCAATCCATTTAACGAAACAAAAGAAATACAAAATGTTTTACTGGTTCATTTTCTTTATACTAAATATTCTGCGGTGAAATATTACCAGGTGGTTCAGATCAGTTTTTCCAAAAAAGTTTGTACAGGCAACTCATCACTTAATAGTGTTCCCGGAATTCCCTTCATGTGTTTTTTTCTTTTAGGTAGTGAAATATTTAGTTAAATCAAATTACATAAAAACTAAAAATAAAACTACAATAAAAAAAATACTCACTTGTTTTTTAGATCCAGGTGTGTGTGTTTGAGTGTATATTATACACACACAAATATTTTTTTTCTTTTTTTTAATATATTTTTTAATATTATTTAATTTAATTATCTAAAAGTTAAGCTTCGGTGTAGCTACTTGTTTACTTGTTGGCAACTTGTAGTGTAGCTAGCTACTTTTTTTAATGTACTTTGGCAAGCTCATCAATTCAAATAAAATTAATTTAGCATTATTTATTTAAGGTCCTGTAATGATGCAAGTATTTACCTCTACCATGTGGGCAGGTCTGGCAGTCATTACTGCCAAAGGAACTTTTTAAAACTGGACAGAGGTCTAATAAGTGTGGAATAGTGACAGAAAGATCCAGTAACGCCATACTCACAGCATTTTAAGGATGAGGGCGAAACATCCCAGCACTCTGTCGGCGTGAGCAGGCAGCTGAATGGACAGGGCATTGAGCGCGGGGCTGACCAGTAGACAGTCGATCAGGTTGGGCTCGCTGACGCCTTCTGCGGGGGCCTTGCGCAGTGTGTTAGTGGTGTTGTTGTTGCGCTCCAGCTCTACCAGGATCTCACTGGAATTGACGATGGAAGGTGGTGGTGAGAGGGGCAGGGCCGGGGGTGGGGACAGGGTGGTAGTCGGGGGTGGTGTGGGCGGCTCGGGCCGCAGCAGGCGTAAAGGCATGGGCGGCTTCCTCTCACTTTGCTGCTGACAACCGTTTCGGATTTCCTTGAGACTGGGAGAGTTGTCGCGACTAAAAGAAAAAAAAAGAAAGAGAAGACATATGCCACTTTCCACAAAATTCAAGACAGTGTGGTGTCCTGTTATTTTTTTAAGGATACATTTTTTTGGTTGGGGGAACTATTCGATATATACGGTTCAAAAGTTTGGTTTTGATTTGGTTGGTAGGCTTGCTGCGATAATCGGTGTTGACGGTGTTAAGCCGCAACACCGGTTACGTCACTTGCTCACCGTGGCACCGCTCCCCCCACTGTCATTTTGATTTTTTTTTGTAATAAAAATAACTTAGTTCAGTTAGAGAACAGACACTACAATTGGCGGCTGCAGTGAGCCAAACAACAGTCGCATCACAGATCAGCAGCAGGAGTCAGATTTCATTTATCACGTGAGGAGAGCGAGTCGAGCTGACCGTCAAGAAGAGTGAGGTGAGACAGACAAGACGATGGGGGAAGATTTAGTTTCAAAACAAAATGCAAAAGCGCCTAGCTGTTAGGCAATACTTTATTTAAACTTTAATATTTTACTTTATTTAAAATTTGTGTAATTTAACAAAAGTTCTATGTTTAATATAAGTGAGTTGTGTTGTACCATTTTGTTGTTGTCCATTCAAGCATTTGATGCCAAATTGACGCTAATTCGAATTCGCATGGGCATTTATAAGCTATTTAAAAGCGAAGGAAAGTGAGGAATTGATGGAAAACCCCAACGAACTCCACCCCCCGGTGATAGCGGTATTACTGGTGTTGTCGCACGTCGATTAACCAGTGGGAAAATTTCACCACCGTCACAACCCTATTGGTTGGTAAGATTTTTTTGCTTGTTTGTTTTTTAAAGTAGTCTCTTACACTCACCAAGGCTGTATGTATTTGATTGAAAATTCAGTAAAAACTGTAATATTGTGAAATATTATGTAAGGCGCTTTGGATAAAAGTGTCTGCTAAATGCATAAATGTAATTATTACAATTTAAAAGAACTGTGAATGCATCCTTGCTGAATAAAATTATTAATGTATTTAAAAAATGAATAAAAATGTAAGAAATGACTATATATCATATGTTTTCAACTTTTCAACAATCAACTTTTCTGAAGGTTAAGCAACTCCTTTCAATGTCATTTGGTTGAGAAAGGGGGGAAAAAATACTAATATTGCATTCAGAGAGTTTCAGGCACATTCCATGGAAATTTCCATATTTGCATGCAGTCATATACAAAACACCAGCTGTTTAATTTGCTACATGGCCACAGTATTTGAAAGACCTTATTTGACTAACAAGTAACTATGGGACATCTGATTCTGGTAGGATGACAAATGGAACCCAGGAACGAAAACACATGTAAATGTGCACCTTTAAAATATCCATGAACTGTAGTTACGGAAATTTGTCAAAAGGCCATTGGAGAGTGAATGAGAGAACAGATTGCAACAAAAAACAGAGAGGGAGCAGTGCAAGGAAGCCTAGGGAGTAAGCTTTGACACTTCTCACTCTCTTGAGTCTTTGCGAATCATGGAAACCTTTTAAAATAGTTCCTTATTCCTCTCAGGTGGCTGCACCGCGGCCCAGATGCTCACAGTGATGACACAAACAGGACAGGTGAGACCAAAAATGTCACTACAGCCAAGTCACTGTTGTCTGTCACAAAAAATACTGACCGATTAAAGCAGGTGGCAAAGAAAGCGTGCATATTTATGGAATATTTAAAAAAAACGGATATGGAGCCATGAAGTCAGCAAAAATGATTCAGAGAAATGTTTTGAGCTCAGGCCTCAAGGGTAAATCGCATCTCATGGGTTGGAAAACCAGTGAATCGGACGCACCTGTTGATGAATTCTTCGTAGCAAGAGTAGATGGCAGCTAGGCACACCGCCACGAGATTGGGGAGGACCCGAGGATGAGGGCACTGTCCGGTGGGACCGTGCATGCTGAAATCATAACATGTAAAAAAAAAAAGGTCAGGTTAGCACAGCTCCTGCGTCCAAACCCAGAGTGACTGCGTAAAAAAACAAAGCTGAAACAGGAAGTAAGCGCAGGGCTTGGTCCTAAACAGACCATTAAAATGACAGTCTGATAGATAAAAGGATGTTACAGTTTGTGTACATATGAAGGCCTGTTCTTTGTACGTAAGTGAGGTGGAGCCAGGATGAGGTAACACTGGCAACGTTTACATGCACAATTTTTGGTTCAATCGGACTGAATTCATTCCGATTGATGAATCTGAATGAAGTGTTTACATAAACGCTAAATAAAGTGATCGGGTTGATGTGCGCGTTTATATGTCACAAGCTTCAAATCGGAATTGATTTTTTTTTGACATGCACACACTGCACAAATATTTTTTGAGTTTCTCAGAGTTTCTCACTGTTTGCACATAATAACCACTCTCCTACACGGTTTCTTTATTTGTTTTTAACAGCAGAATTAATATTGATCCATTTATGAATAAATATACATATAAACCGCTGTGTGGTGCGCTGCTCACATTTATCACGCAGTAAAAATGCCCCTCTCCGCGCTCCCAAAACGGGTTGCCTGTGGATGAGTATCCAAAACAAGGACTGGTGGGAGGTTGTCCTGCTCCACTTCACAGTTGCCGAGTGAAAAGAGAGTTTTATAATGACAGGACACGCATTTATACAACACTTTATTCAAAAGGAAGAACCACTGGTTCTACGCGTCATACGTCATTACACTATTTCTGCGTCATTGCACATGCGCAGTTCTTTCAGTTTCGGGGTTCAATCCTATCGAGTGTTTACATGCACTCTCAATCATATTAGAAAAGGAATAAACCACCCCCTTCAATCCGATTAAAATTTCATTCCGATCAAGCTCAGTTGGATCGATTAAGGTGTATACATGAAGGTTTTTCAGTCCAACTGAGCCATCAATTCGATTACAAATGGATTATTTGGTTGCATGTAAACGTAGCCATTGTGTCCTCACCAGGCGCGATGCAATGAGATTCCAAGCTTTTATCGCTTGCTGCATTGTTAGGACACAGTCACTCACCTGTGAATGAACTTCTTGACCACTTCCATGCCAGCGTTAAGCTCATTCAGAGCCAAAATATACTCTTGAGTAAAGAGACGGAGTCTGGGGCATTTCCCAAAGTCCTGGAATGAGAAGAAAAGACATGAGAGTCAATAAATGAGGGTGTAGTGATGTGTGAATTCAAGAGCACGTCTGGTGTTGTGCGCAGACCCACCATGTTGTGTTTGAGGATTCTCTGAACCACAGGAGTGAACACTTCAATCACCACCATCGACCGAGGACGCTCCCTACAGTGCTGTGTAGAGGAACACAAAAACCGATATTGATTAATACATATATTAATCATCAAAATCATTATAGCTAATCCCCTTCTTTAAAAAGTACTTGGTAAAGTAATGATATCAGACAAAAACACTGCACAATTACCATGGTACACAATACTCTACCGTTCAAAAGTTTGGGGTCGGTACAATAAAAAAAAAAAGTCTTCTCTTAAGCTCACCAAGGCTGCATTTATCCAATTAAATATACAGGAAAAACAATAATATTATTGAAATATTATTATAATTTAAAATAAATGTTTTCTATTTGAATATGTTTTAAAAATGTAATATTTTCCTTAGATGGCAAAGCTGAATTTTCAGCAGCCCATACTCGTGTCTTTAGTGTCACATGATCCTTCATTCTTATGTGATCAAGAAATATATATCTTATAATCAATGTTGAAAACAGTTGTGCTACTTATTATTTTTTGAGGAAACTGTGATACGTTTTTTTTTAGGATTCTCTGATGAATACAAAGTTCAAAAGAATGGCATTTCTTTGAAATAGAAATCTTTTGTAACATTATAAATGCATTTACTGCCACTTCTGATCAATTTAATGTTTAATTTATTTTAAAAAATGACACTCAAATTTTGAACAGTAGTCTGTTTTTGTAGAAACTAAAATTGGTTTATATATTAAATAACCATGTGATGATGCCAATTTTTTTTTTTTAAATCCTAGTAAATTAATACCATACAAATGACTTATATTTGACCTTTTTGTCCTTTAATAAGTTATTTCAGAAACACAAACCAAAATATTTTAATCAACTGAAAAATGAAAGATTAAAAGCAGCAATAAAATAAAATAATGAAATAAAATAGGGTTTACAATACTGAACTCAATTGTTCCCCTGAAGAATAGCCAGAATTGTCACATTTACCTTGCAGAAGAATTCACACAGGTCAGGGGGAGGGTGGTTATTCTCCAGCAAGGGTGCGATGGCCTACATACAGATCCAAACCATTAGTCACTTCCCCACAGACATGTAGAGACTTGTTGCTTTTCATCCACATTTTACAGAAGTGCACATCCTTCAGAGAGCACATCTGTGTGTGCATGTCCTGTTTCTATGGCAGTCCACTACATTTTCAAGTAAATTTTCTTCTAGAGCGTGTTTCACTGAGACTTAAGACACATTACGTAACTGCCTTTGTAAGCAATGGAGTTTAACACACTGTTGTGTGAAGGCAATATGCGTCTTCATATTTTCTTTGCAAAAAAAACAGCCCCACTTACCACAATGATGTTCTCATGGTCCTGAGCGCTGAGGTTAGTGTTCTAGGAAGGAAATGACACAAAAGCATTACTGAGAATTCATTGGCCAGTGGTGCCACGGCTAAGTGACTCAACAACCAGCAAGCCCTGCTTTTAAAAATGTTAATGGCCTTCTTGGGAAAGCCGGTGTGACTCAGTGATACAAGCCTTTTGACCAAAGGCCAGTGAGAGGTCTGTTTTTAGACCTTTTAAACCCCTCTTTGAATTCAAATGCTTGGTATATGTGGTGTTCAAAGACGTAATCTACATTTGCAAATCAAAGTAGGGATGCAAACAATCTTTCCCTATCTGCAAACAATCTGGAGAAGGAGATCTTCGTTGTGTAGCAATGCCACATAAAAAAAAAAAAGTCTCACTAAACCACAGCTACACAGGCAACCACAGGTAACTCTTAACCTGAACACAGACTCGAAATGACACGTAACACACCTCAATTCACAAAAGACACTCATAACCAGAAATGAAAGCAGAATGCTGCTCAAGTTCTAACATAAAAGATGCCAGCTATACTTCAAGGAGAAACTGGCTGAAAAATAATACCATCTGATAAATTTGACGTGCTCAATGAGAAAAATGACTCATAAATGCACAAAATAAAAATACATTTCTTTCAGGGTTTTAGGTTCTAAATTAAAAGCCAAGTTTATATGATATTCTATTCCCTACATAAGGATAGAGGAACTCTGTCAATACAAATCATTTTTTATTGTCTATCAGGGAAAATGTTTTAAGAAATATTTTATAACTTTATAAATGTATTTACTGTCACTTTTGATTAATTAATGCATTCTCAAAAATTAATTTATACATTTTTTTTTTAAACCTTTGGAAGGGTAGTGTAACTGTTTCTGTAGAAGAATTTTGGGTAAAATTGTTTATATATTAAATAACCACATGTCAACTTCTACTTTTTGAAAATCCTAATAAATTAAATTCTGTAAAAATGAAAGGTATTCTTCTCATTTGATCTTTTTTTTTATTATAATTTCATGAATATAAGCCAAACGATTTTTAACAACTAAAATTAGAAGATTAAAAACAGCAATAAAATAAAATAAAAGTCTTATATTCTACTTTTATAAGTAAAATTGTTTACATTTGACATATCTGAAAAAAGGGACTCCTAAACAATAATACAAAAATGCTGATTGCCCTAAAGTAAGCGCCCACTGCAAAGTTTATGATATTCTGTTCCCTAGATATGTCCTCTGTCAATATAAATGTTTTGTTGACTGTTTATTTTTGTCTATCAGGCGAAAAATTTTAAGCACAATCACTTAGAAATGTAACAGCTCACTTATCCTCAATAAGCTGCATGATTTGAAGTTATCATCGCACGTGTTACAAACAAAAGTTTTGGGTGGAAACACAAGTATGAGCAATAATAAAAGTGATGCACACCTTAGCAAGCACTATTAATGAGCTTTACACTCTTGTCAAATTAAATAATTAATAACTAGTCTTCTCACTAATTAGATGATGTGACGTACCTCAGCAAGCAGGGTGGAGATGATGTGCAGAGGGGCCTGATGGATGGATTCGTCCTGCAGGGGTGAGGTGAGGGCCATATCCACCAGGGCCCTGATCTCCTTCAGAACCACGTCCCAGCGGCTCGGGTTATTCAGAACCTTGCGGTACTTGTAGATCTTTTTCTGCAGATGAGTCAGAAAACCCAGAATGCACACACCTGACTTTTACCGATGCAACCAGCAGTTATGAAACCGGCACATATTTTACGACCATAATGCAGCTAGATAACAGCTTTTGAACTACATTACGGTGTGAATTACCTCACCGAATTTACCCAGAGATGAGCTGTGGTGACCAGGCTTGGAGATTTATGGTTTGAAGTTCTTATTTTGTTCCATTTGATTGCACTCATGCATGGATATTTTTTCAACCACAGGCACTTTTCTTAAAACAAAAAAGCCTTTTCACGCTCTCACTAATCTGTCTACTACCAATGTCCCACAGTTGATATATAGTCTTTTTTTTAAAAACATCTCAAACATTTCCACTGCATCTCAAAATATGGAAACTCACTGACTGGTAACTTGACGCACAAAATGATGCTCAGAAAGGATATTTACTGTTTCCTCTATACACATCACATCTTATATTTCATATCAAGCACGCTCTTCACTGACACAGCTTGGTCTCCTTGGTAGCCAAGTATTAACTTTTTATAAATATTCACTGGTTTGTAATGGAAATGATGTCACATCTGAAGTTACAAATTGTGTAAATAATAATAATAATTCCTCACAATAATACTCAAATGGTTTATAACCTTTTCATTCTTCCTTTCAAAATTGTTTCAATGTGGAAATAATGATGGTGGCTTCTTTGTCTTGCTATGGCCAATTTGCCTAATTTGACAATATTATAACTTGACTGGATATGACGCACAATCAAAAGCTCTGCTTGCAAGTGATATTTATTATTTCCTCCACACATCACATCTCATATTTCATATCAAGCATGATCCTCAGGGACATGGCTGTCTCCTTGGTAACCAAGAATTAACTTTAGATAAATCTTTATTGAGTCAAAATTGTTAAAGTAGTAAATGACGCCACAACTGAGGTAGTAAACGCCGGTGTAGAAAATGGTATAAAACATTTGACACAATAACAATCAAATGATTTAAGACTGTTTGATTTTTCCATCCAAGAAAGTTTCAATGTGAATGTCACATAACAAAAACAAAATGTTTTAGTTTTAATAGAAATCAACACTTGGAACATCAAAGTGCCTGTAGGTGAAGAACCACACACATATGTACACTTACAAAATTATACTCTCACTAAAACCATGCAAAATGTCATTGCACCATTGCTTTTTGCAAGTCTATCCTTCCTAAACGTGTGACCTTACCTTCCACTGTATAGAGTGAAACCACTGGTCCCGCAGATAGCTGTTAGCAGCCTACGAGTGCACACAAACAATCGCAAAATGAGTCAGTGTTTTCTCAACATGAGTGTCATGAAACCGTGAGGGAGCTGGAGGTACCTGCAGGAGGACTGTCCCTCCAGGGAAGCTTAGCTGGACACAGTATTTGGGGGCGTTGTCCCAGGACAACAGCTGTAGGTCCTCGATAGTGCTGTAAGACAGAGGGGCCTCCATGTATCCTGTAGGCTACAGAGACAGGAAGAAACACGTTCATATTTGCAAAAAACAGTCTGGGCATTAACACCTCTCAGGACAAGCATCACGTACTGCACTGACCACCTTAATAAAAGGTCTGCAGTGTCATGGAAGGGCGGTTGTACTATTTATTAATCAAATGTGAATAATATGATGATTGAGCTCTGAATGTCACGATATGCCTTTAAAGTTGCGTTGAACTCTTGACGTACATATCTTCGAGCCAGTGTCACCCACATAATGATACTTCACGCAAATCATTTCAAAGGTCAGTAGCAAACAAGGCTGAAGCTGAAATGGTTTGTGTTGCTGGGCACAACATACAGCCTACATTATGGATTTCAGCATGACAGGACCAGAACTATCAATTTTCTATTATTCTTATTTTATTTTGATTAATAAAATTATATTATTTTAATCATAGTTGATGATATATACAAAAAACTGCAAAATTTTTTATACTTGTTACACTTATTTTACACAAAACGCACTTGTTGAAGTTGAACTTGTTTAAACTTAGCATTTCGCTGTTTAGAGATGGATGTATTGGTAGGTTTTCCACAAGTTCAATTTTTTATACTTGTTACACTTATTTTACACAAAACGCACTTGTTGAAGTTGAACTTGTTTTCGCATTTCGCTGTTTAGAGATGGATGTATTGGTAGGTTTTCCACAAGTTAGCATGATAATATGAAGAAATTTGATTAGGCATCATCTTTCATAAGGTGACGTCAGTGGACAAAGATTGTGGACAATGGTTTATGAATAAAGAATTTGAAGTCAGGAGGATTCTGATTGGCTGTCATAGTTCTGAAAGTGATTCAGTGTCATTATCATTATAGTTGTAATTAAGGGTGTATTCACACCGGTCTTGTTTGGTTCGATTGAATCGAACTCAAGTTCGTTTCCCCCCTTGGTGCGGATCTTTTGGGCAGGTGTGAATACAGCAATCGCACTCGGGTGCGGACCAAACAACCGCACCGAGACCCAGCTAAAGAGGTGGTCTCAGTCCGGTTCAAAACGAACTCTGGTACGCTTGAGAATTTCTGTCCAATGAATGGATGACCTTAGCACACGTGTGGTTTTGTTTCTAATTTCTGGTTCACTTGCAAAAAGGGCAGTGTGAAAGCGAACCACACCAAAAAAAAAAAAAAAAAATCAACATTGTATTTGGTCCGGACCAAAGCAAGTGAACTAGCAGACCTTCCTGGTGTGAATACACGTTAGCGTTCACACGGCAAAGTTTCTAAAAAAGGACAACATTTTTTAATACAGTGACGCGCGAGTAAACTGTTCTCTCATTGGTCAAAGTTCCACGATTTAATTTCCGGGATTCCACTGCTGTCACCCATCAGGATGGGAACAACAACAGCTTTGTGAGCTTATTGTTGTTGTTTTTTTGTAGCTGTCATTATATTAATTTATCATTTTGAGCAGGAGTCCAGGATTGATCGGGAAAACATTCGAACCTCTCCAGTGTTCGTTTTCAATCGAGCCGAGACCACCTCGCTCAGGGGATCTCGGACCGATTGTTTTGGCACGGATCCGGGCGCGATTGCCATGTTCACATATGCCCAAACGAACCGAGCTAAGGGGGGAAACGAGACAGGTTCCGAAACATCGGGCCAGGTGTGAAAGCACCCTTAGACTTCAATTCTAAGAATTATAACGATTCTCAAAACTTTATAGTTATACTAATTATCGTCTTTGGTGTGAATGGGGGGTTAACTCTTCATACATGTGGGTCTCCATTTGGGCTGCAAATTTGCAAGTTTAAGGTTCCCCTTCTAAGCAATCTTTAAATGGCTGCAGGAGCTTCTTCATTTTCGTTATTTGTCAGACATGAGCCTGTTGTGGCTCATTTCTCAGTTCCACTCTTGACTGAAGTGTTGGTTGTCACATGACCTCAAATGTCAACAGGCTGTTCCCTGATCTCCTTCCCTCTACAATAGCACACTGTGGCTGTTCCTTTATTAGCTGCCCTCCCTCCTCCGCAGCCCGGCAACAGGCTCTTCCTTTATTAGCACCGCCCTCCCTCTACTTCTTTGCACAAACACGCTATTGCTTTATTTGCGCTGCTCTCCCTCTAGACTTAAACCAAACCACAGTTCCTGTATTTGTCTCAGCCACCCAGTTCAGCAGAGCAAACAAGCTGTTCCTTTCTTTGACTCATTCTCTTTGCGTCTCTCTCGCTCGCTCAAACAAACAGGCAGCTCGTCCCCATATAACCGAATAAAACAGGCCTGTCTTTTATTTACATCCCCCACTCTTAGGTGATAGACCAACTGGCTGTTCTGCAATGGAGGTCCTGCCCCCTCTGTTGAAGATTTCAGATGGCTGATTTGTCTTTCTTTTAAAGAGTCCGTGTGTTAAGTATCTTTTGAATCATGTCTCATTTTCAAGTAATCAATCACGAGTCTGCTAGCAAGCTTGTGTACATTGGGACTCGTGCCACACGTGGAGCAAAACAAGGGGTCCGGGGTGGTAGAAACTCAGATAAACAGCTGAAGTCTACTTGTCTCTCATAAAATCAGGGTAAATATGTCACCACTGGGGTTTATATATATATATATATATATATATATATACACATTTTACAGTATGGTAAAAACCTCTTTAAAGGTTGTCATAACTACAGTATACTGTATGACGATGTGACATGTGAACTTGCACCGAGCTTGATGTTCCATCTGCTTATCTTTGTCAATTGCAGTCCTTTTCTCTCTCTCTCTCTCTCGCTATCTTTCCTCCTTTCCACTTCTCTGTTTCAAGAAGTCCTCCGATTCTTTCTTCCTTCGTCTCATTCAGCCTGTTTTCATGGTGCAATTCTTCCTTAAAGAGGAGTTGAATAGCTCTCCTCTCACCATTGCTATGTTGCCATGGAAACAAAGAGATGAAATAGACACATTTTTTTTTTTGTTACCAGGGAGATCCAGATGGAAAACGATGTGGATAAAAACATCAGTGGGTTCAGGTGGCGTCTCTAGAACTGACAAACTGATCTTGGAGAGCTCCCGTCAGCGCCGCACCTACTAAAGTGTGAGGAACCACAGTAAACGCACAGATTTCTCAGCTTCTCATATCGATGTATAAAGAGCTGAATGGCAAATATAAGACAGATATGTATATTAGTGACAGACAGCTAAATCAATATTGGGCCATGTGAGATGCTCGTATCAGCCAATAACTGCTCCTAATGGCCGATTAAAAATGTTGTAGTAAATTCTCCCTTATATCAGATCCAAGATCTACCAATATTGTTGTCAATGTATAATATAAAATTTCTGTTTTCAAAAATTACTGAATATAAATGAAGTATTTATGAAGTCAATATTTAATATAGTTTTAAAACATTTTATCTCTAGGTCTTAAATTAAACTTCATTAGTCTATAATTGCATATATTTTGGACATGCGTCAATTCTCTCTCTAGTTATTAATATCAATTTCAGACAGTTAAAAACCCATAATGGTTGACCACTAATGTATATTTAAGCAATACAGTATGAGATGCCATGCTTTGTTATGACTACAATTGCGGCAAAATGTGTTGCTAGGCACAATGCACAGTCTGCATTATGGATTTTAGCAGGCAGGACCAGAACTGTCCGTTTTATATTATTCTTATTTTATTTTTATTAATAAATGTATATTATTTTAATTATAGCGAATGATAAATTCTGCAGAAATTAACATTTATTTTATACATTTTAATACTTATTTTACACAATATTTAAAAAAAAAAAAAAATACACTACTATTTGAGGTCAGGAAGATTTTGCAATGTTTTTGAAGTCTTTTATGCTTACCAAGGTTGCATTTATATGACCAATAACAGAGTAAATCTACTGTAAAATATTATTACAATTTAAAATAACTCTTTTCTATTTTAATAGATTTTAAAATGTAATTTATTACCGTGATGGCAAAGCTGAATTTTCAGCAGCCATTACTTCAGTGTCGCATGAGCCTTCAAGAAATTTGCTAATCTGGTGCTCAAGAACCATTTCTTATTATCATCATCAATGTTGAAAACAGTTATGCTGCATAGTTTTTTTGAAAACTGTAATACAGTTATTCAGGATTCTTTGATGAGCAATGTTTATTTAAAATAGAAATCTTTTGTATCAAAGTCTTTTCTGACACTTTTGATCAGTTTGACCATCCTTGCTGAATAAAAGCTTTTTTTTTTTTTTTTTTAATATCTTATGGTGCTGTTCCACTGCGTGGTACGACTCGGCTCAGTACGGCACGGCACGGATCGGCTCGGCACGATTTGCGTTTCCACTGCAGTTCAGTACCGCTTTAGAGTGGGCGGGATTATTCACATGTCGTTATAGTTGCGCCGCCTCTACTACCACGACTCCTAAAAAAAAAACTTTTTCATTCCGCGTCGCCCCATCAAGCTCTCGCTGGATCCGCTCCTCTGCTATCAACGAGAGGAACGTCTGTTCTTCTGCAACAGACAACAAAACTTTTTGGTTGTTAAAAAAAGGTGTGCTCGTTGAAAACAGTTGCGTTTGATCCTTCGCTGGCTGTGCTGATTTAAATCTAGCGGTTCTTTTGTGTTTGTGTCGCAAGTTCAGTGACGCAGGTAGTGACTAGGGCGGTCAGAATGGCTGAAAAACTACATTTGAATTTTGTACTTAAATATGATCAAAATTCGAATTATATTCAAATTTAAAATGCATAATTTCAGTTAGGGTGAAGAAAAGCTTTTGGCTTCTCTCCTGAGGCCACAAGAGGGCGCATCATTCAAAACATAAGATAACATGACTATCTGCGAAAAAAAAGTGCATAATGTTTAAAATAATGTTTATAAACCAATTATAATTAAGTTGCGAATGGAGACATTTTTTCATTTAAAAACATGAGATGCAGTGGGATGGGGAAAAACCCGCCATAAAGTCTCGATATATGTTTTTTCAAAGTTAAACTTGCATTAATTTTACATGGCTTTCTAAACATTACAGTCTCTTTTGTGCGAGACGCGAGTGCAACAGTAATAGACGTCCGTCTAGAAAATGCGTGAAATATGCATTCTGTGTGAACGGCTTGGTTTCGGTTTTGATGTAAACAAGATCTTCTCCACATTGATGTTCTCTTTTTCCGC